GGAAACAGCGTCCATCACTGATCCAACAAGTCATGCACAGGATCCATCCGACCAAGAGAGTACTTCCGAGGGAGCAGGGGGAACAGAGTCCACCACTGATGCACCAAGCGATGCAAAGGATCTTTCCGACCAGGAGAGTACTTCCGAGGGAACAAGGGAAACTGGGTCCACCACTGATGCACCAAGGGATGAAAAGGATCCATCTGACCGAGAGAGTACTTCTGAGGCAGCACGGAGAACAGGGTCCGCCACTGATGCACCAAGGGATGCAAAGGATCTTTCCGACCAGGAGAGTACTTCCGAGGGAGCAGGGGCACCAGGGTTCGCCACTGATGCACCAAGTGATGCAAAGGATTCATCCGACCGAGAGAGTACTTCCGAGGGAACAAGGGAAACTGGGTCCACCACTGATGCACCAAGGGATGAAAAGGATCCATCTGACCGAGAGAGTACTTCTGAGGCAGCACGGAGAACAGGGTCCGCCACTGATGCACCAAGGGATGCAAAGGATCCACCCAACCAAGAGAGTACTTCCGAGGGAGCAGGGGGAGCAGGGGGAGCAGGGGGAGCATTGCCCGCCACTGATGCACCAAGGGATGCAAATGATTCATCCGACCAAGAGAGTACTTCCGAGGGAGCAGGAGGAAGAGGGTCCGCCACTGATGCACCAAGTGATCCTAAGGATCTATCCGACCGAGAGAGTACTTCCGAGGGAGCAGGGGGACCTGGGTCCGCCACTGATGGACCAAGAGAGGAGGAGGATAAGGAGCGGGTTAACACTACGCCAAGGAGCGGCATGGATGGGAAACCTGAATCGGACCCATCCCCAGGCGAAGAGACGCCGGTTGGCGTTAGAACAACAGCTCAAGCAAACGTAAATGAAAAAAGCCCTACCAGCAAGCCTCAGGTAGAGGAAGCTCATACAGATGGTACCGAATCTAAAGAAGACACCGGAAAAACCCAAGAGGATGGTGTAAAACCAACTCAACGAGTTGGTGAGGAAGATTCTGCATCTCGTAAGTGATATCCTATTGCTTTAACTTGATAACTAATTTTATTTTATTTTATTAGTTTAAATTGACCTGTTATAAACTTCTTTTAAATAAGTTATTTCCAAAATGTATTTATTTGCTTTATTTTGGGGGATAAGTGGTTCCTAATATTTGGTATTTAAAGCATTATTTATCTAATTTGTGTTATCATGGGCTGAAGGTTTTTCTTTATATTACCAATTTAATTATTTTGGTTCTATATATATATATATAAAGTCTTCTCTTTTACCTATCATTGGCCATATGTAATAGGTTGTTTATGCATTCAAGTGCCTCGTGAGAGGCAGAAATAGTCAATACTGACTGAAATGCTTTTATGTCCAATAACTAAAAATAAACAAAAGTAGCTTTTTTCATCAACTTTTAAATTTGTTGATGTTATTTCCAATGCAGTCCTATCTTTATCCTTATGAAGCTCCGTCCCCGATGCATAATTAATCTCGTTTGCCAATAATAATTTGAAAATACAGTTAACGGCCGTGAAGATCGAGTCTGCATTCTAGTCTGGTAATTATATGCAAAGATGAATTGCCATATTGTCATTGAATTCCAGATCAATCACCAAACGGGTGCGCTGTAGTCACGAGAGTCGCATTTTCATTTAAACTAGTGGACAGATAGCTCTTGCCCTCCTCACTTCTAATAACAAATACTAAATCAACTACAATTTATACTACTACGATTACTACTACTACTACTGTACTACTACTAAGATAACTTCCACTGCTACTACTGTTAGATTACTACTACTATCGTAGTGATAACTACTACTCCTACAGCTACTGCTACAACTACTGCTACTACTACTACTACTACTACTACTACTACTACGACTATTTATGCTACTAATTTTAATACTTGTGCTGCTGCTGCTGCTACTACTACTTCTACTAGTACTACTAATTATTATTATGGAAATAATAACAATGGCAATAACGGTTATTTTTAAAGCGCACATATCCACCACACAAGGTGTCCAGGCGCTCGAATAATATCCCGGGTCTGCTGGGCTACCGATTGTGGTGCTCACAGCATTCAAGGAATTCCATCCAAGCGGTATCCAATCGACACCTGGGTGGAGAGTAGCAAATGTAGATTAATTTATTGCCAAATTACGCTATTAGTGCGGCAGGGGAAGTCGAACCGCGAACCATGGGATCCACAGTCCGACGGCTTTCCACTAGACCACGACACCGTCATACCGGTCTATACGTGTGAATTCTTTCATGAATGAAGCTTTTTCCTAAATAATAATTTTGTTTATTTCATAGTATTTCTGGTAGTTTGATTTTTAATAAGGAAATTTATCTAGCTATTGTTATCCATTCCAGATTTATAGGATGCTTCGTGCCATATCCTTGCCCAGTGAAAATAACAATAACTCTTCATCTAAATGAAAAATAGATTCGAGTCAATAATTGACTCAAATCTATTTTTCATTTAGATGAAGAGTTATATTATGATACAAAACAAGTATTTTATTTCATGATTAGGACTTAAAAAAAAAAATATTGTATGAATTAGGAGAATTGCAGTAATGTGTACAACACACGAAGCTTTAACATTGAGCGCCCCATAAATCAATGGACTTAGTTAGAGCAACCTAGATTTATTCTACTTACCTGTATGCATGCAGGCTTTTATTTAGGAAAACACATCTAAAAATGAAACTATTCGATCCCGATTATTCCACCGTCTTCTCTTTGGAGAATTACAATATCGTGCCTTATCAAGCCTGTTAAAGTAAATAAATTGAGAGCCAAAAAATGTACCCATTTCCCATCATGTGTTGCTGTTCAGTACATTCTGACAAAGAGTCAGGATGATCACGCAATAAGCCACTGCAATTTCCTATCGCGTTTGCACTATATTACATGAATGAACTAGGAATATTGCAGTATAGCTGCGGAAAGAATCGCATGAAAAACAGAGTGTATGTGGAAAAGAGCCTATCTGACTTTTCGCGCGATAACTTTTCTCATCGCGGCCATGTCAACACTGCGGAAACCAATAATGCCATGGAAACGTGTAAACAATAGACGGGCAAATCGATGCTTGTTTGTAGCAAGACTCGACTGATCGGGAATGGAAAATTAACCCCCTTTTATTAATATCAGAATTGTCCTCGTGTATGCACAATTAGACTGAAATGCAGCCATGAAAAACCGCAATAAGAGGCAAGACAAAAGATCGGCAATGGTCTGAAAGAGTTGATAATATAACTGATTTCGTTTCTTTTCTTTCCCTTCTTTTTCTTTTAATGAAAGATTGATCTGGCATTGATGTGAGTGAAAGATAACATAATGAAGGGATTGATTGGGATACATGGGGGAAAAGAGAAATAAATTAACATGTAGAAATTCAGCGTGAGAGAAAGAGAGATATATGATGGGAGAGGGCATGGATAGATAGAGGCAGACAGAGAAAAGGGGGTGGGTATATTTTAACTAACCTGATTTCATTTGTAGCGTTACTGCCTAATCAAATAATTCTACATTGTTTCAATACTCAAACGACTTTTTATTTCAATTTCTCTTTTAATTCATTATCAATTGCTTTTATGCGATCATGCGATCGAAATTCCTAGAATTCAAAATACAAATTTGTATACAGTTACTTGTATTGCTGAAATGATATTAGTATTCGATTCGTCTACCACATAGCAATCTCCAAAATAAAAATGGAATACTATTGCCCATAGATATGAAACGAATGTTTATTTTTCTTCCTCTCTTAATTCATTATCAATTGCTTTTATGCGATCATGCCACAAAGATTCTTCGTATTCAAAATACCTCTTTTTGAATAGCCGCTTGTATTGCTGACACGATATTAGTATTCGATTCTTCTACCACGTAGCAATCAACAAATATTTTGTGAATAATAATACAAACAATGCACGATTGAGTCAGTAGCATATGGAATTGACGAAGTGAACTGTGTGTCCTTAAATATTTCAGCTGTATTATCCTAAAGGTCCATTGAAAACGAGATGAACTAGCGTCCAATTAATTATCTAGTCAATATCGAGTTCCACCAACACCACTTGAAAAGAAAAAACGAGAGGAAAAGAGAAGACTCGAGGAAACGAGGGGGAAGGTTATTGAATATTGATGGGCACTATTGCTCATTTATTTGTAATGATATAGTCCCTGGCTGTGAACCATTGTTAGAGAGTTTCGGGTTCGTGCAACAAGCCTCAATAGTATTATATAAAGATGGTTGATGGATATCTCTTTTTATCTCTCTCTCTCTCTCTCTCTCTCTCTCTGTCCGTCTCTCTCTTTTTATTTCTCACTCTCTCTCTCTTTCTTTCTTGTTTGTCTCTTGTTTGGCTCTTTTTTTCCTTCTCTCTCTCTGTTGTTATTATTTCCTTCACTTTCTTCCCATTCTTCTGAATATACTTCTTTGTTTTCCCTTTTTTAAATATGTATCTACTTTTTTTTCTCTTCCTCGCTTTTTAAGGTTATTGCAAATTGATTTTATTACAACAAAGGTTGATGGGTATTTTTTTTTTCTCTGTCTCGCTTTCTTTATTTTTTTCATCTTTCTCTCTCTCTCTTTCCCCCCTCTCTCTCTTTCTTTCCGTTTGTCTCTCTCTCTCTCTCTCTCTCTGCTGTTGTTGTTTTTTTTCCCTTTATTCTTTCCATTTTTCTAATTCTTGATCTTTTTTTTTCTTTTTCTGAATAAAGTAATGTGCAGATTATGCATTCCGATTAGCTGAATACAGCTACTATTTTTTAATTTATTTATTTATTTTTTATTATATTTTATTTTATTATTTTTTTATTTTTTATTTATTTATTTATTATTATTATTATTATTATTATTTTTTTAATTTTTTTTTTTTGGGGGGAATACATTGTTCCAACTTTAAAGACAGAAATTATTTTCATTGATTATTGATTTTATATGTATATCAATTATTATCCGACCTTTTCTACGTAGTATACCGCCTCCCACGTCTTGCATTGGCTGAAACACAAATCACACTCTCGGACAAGGACAAATGCACTCCGTTCACACTCACGTACAACATTCCTCAGCCGGGAGAGGGCGACACACCAGCTCAACCCTCGACTGACGGAGCAGACCAAGATGAACGTGGAACCGAAGGTGATGGTGAAACCGGGGAGGTGATCAGCTATGAGGATTTCAGTACTCTTCGGGAGGAGCAGTTTTCACTACCCGCTGTCCCATTTCTGCTGGGGAATCAAGGTATTCTTAACTGCTTCATCAATAATGTTATAATCGTAATAAAATAGACTTCTTAGACATTAAAAGACCGGAGAGCTAACCATCTAAGAAACTGAAACTAAAGACACGATTGCAGCTTTCATGCATCACCTATTGCAATCAGGTATTACGTAATCGGAACATAATTTATGTAGGGAATGTACTATGGTATTTAAATTGACCTGAAATTATCGATTTTTTTTTTAAAATCTCGAAAGTACTTTTGTTCAAATGAAATTGTACAAAATGGATGAAATAAAACTGAACATCATTTGTCGTTGTTGCTATCGTTGTATTACACCAGACGCTCAGCAGTCATTAGACCAATCCAGGAGGATTACCATTGATGAAGCGAGCTTCGTGTCAGATAGCCAGCTCACGGTTGAAGGGAGATTCTGTGAGATGGATTCGCGCGTCCTGCAGCTATGCCTCACGCTCGACGGACGCACGCGCATACGCACGGACGACGCACCAGAGGGCAAGTGTCACAATCTCACCGTGTACGCTGCGGCACCCGCGGTTTCAGGTGCTCGGTTGAGCGATAGAGGTAAGCTACATATACCCTTTTAAGGTATAGACCAGTTTTGGAAACGCCCCCTCTCAAAAACGTAATGGAAGTTCTTATTAACAATCATGTGAAAGAATATATTTTGACTAATACGTCATGATACAAATTTTGCAGGGAAACCTCCTACTAATAATATATTTGGTAAATTATTATAACGATCCGGCCTGGATAGATATCGCGAATGCACTTCAACATTGAACATTGAAGTATTGCCATCTAAGCCTCTGCGGGCAATATTTAAACAATAGTGAATTGATATTTGCACCCAAAACACTTGAACCGCAATTTTACCACTATCGGTCTTTACCTTTAACTTTTCCCTTTTCAAAGTCATTCGTTTGCCAGATGTATCGATGTGCACACAGCAATACCAATTGACAGTAGGATTGCTTTTGAAAACGCAAGACGCAAGTTTAGTCTTGAGTAGCTATTCTGGCGATCCTTTACATGGATAGATTACTAATACTACGCTCGGCACCTTTATAAAATAATAAAGCCATACCATGTAAAAGGAATTGTAATAATTCAATATTTCGATTAAATTTCGTTGCTAAGGAATTATATGAAATCACAACATTTTCTAATACCAACAGGACAGGTATTCCTCCGTCATTAGTTTCTTTCTTTCCACCTTTCTTCCATGCAAGCTCAAAACAAACTAAACATTTCATATATTTTCAGCTACTTTAATTTATAAAGTATAAGCATTACCGATGATGTCAGAACCATCTCCTTTGTATTGTTATTTATTTTATCCCTCTCCTCGTTTTGAAGCCGATGCCATTATCGTCTTCTTTGACAAGGACGTGAACGTCGCGAACCTTAAGAAATGTTCGGCAATCTTCGACGAGACTTCAGTGGCGAAGTTCGGCGACGAAGCAGAATGCCAGTGGCGCAAGGGCAGGGAATTGGTTGTGCGCTTGGGCAAGGGAGCCACAATTAATCCACAGTCAGGTAGAGAACATAGTATTTTAATTCTCATTAGCCTCTCTACACCCATGTGTTAAATGGATACCTGGCATGTTTTATTCGTTCTTCTTCTTCTACTCCTTCTTCTACTTCATCTTCTACTTCATCTTCTTCTTCTTCCTTTTCCTTTTTCTGCTTCTTCTTCTTCTTCTTTTTCTTCTTCTTATTTTTTTTCTTTTTCTTCTTCTTCTTCTTCTTTCTTCATCTTCTCCTTCTTCTTTTCCTTCTTCTTCTTCTTCTTCTTCTTCTCCTTCTTCTTCTTCTTCTTCTTCTTCTTTTTCTTCTTCTTTTTCTCCTTCTTCTTCTTTTTTTCTTTTTCTTTTTGTTTCTTCTTCTTCTTCTTCTTCTTTTTCTTCTTCTTTTTCTCCTTCTTCTTTTTTTCTTTTTCTTTTTCTTCTTCTTCTTCTTCTTCTTTTTCTTCTTTTTCTTCTTCTTTTTCTCCTTCTTCTTTTTTTCTTTTTCTTTTTCTTCTTCTTCTTCTTCTTCTTCTTCTTCTTCTTCTTCTTCTTCTTCTCCTTCTTCTTTTTCTCTTTCTTAGAGGTATCGTGGTATAGTTGATTCGTCGCTGGACTGTGAATCACATGGTACACGGTTCGAGTCCAACTGCGGCATTACTACCCTATGGCTATCAAAGAATGTGCCATCGGTGCAAGAATGTACATTGATTACATGACTTTAACAAAATAATATTAATGAAGTTAATCCATCACTTTGGCAGTGATTATTCTTAGATGCTCAGACTTGGACCTTTGCATGTGTGTACGACCTGTGGCTATTAGGGACTTTTAGATTTTGACGACGAGAGCGTGGACTGCCGCGTGTGACTTTGTGTTTAATAGGGGCTTTTAGATTGAGTGGACGAGAACACGACGAACGCCGACTGATCATGCGTGTCAACGTACTCAACTGCCCATGTTAACTACCATTAGAAATCTTTTAAATTGCACTCGACAAAACATACAGTTCCTCATTCTACCCTCAACAATTGATGTGGTAGACAAAAGAACATCCCTTCACTGCTATTATGTAAAAATGTGTAGAACAGGTGAATATGCATGCGACATCTGTTTTACACATTTTAACATAATAGCAGGGAAGGGATGTTCCTTTGTCTACCTGAGGAACTGTATATTTTATGCGCACGCGGCATATTAGAACCTTGAGCATGTTTTATGTAAAGCGCTATATAAATAACAATATGTATGTATGTACTAGATTTAGAAAAATCAAGGTTGACGCATTCTCAATCGCCGACTGAGACGACGTGACGCATGCGCAGTGCCTTAAAATGACGTCACACGTTGCAGTCAAAGCTGTCGACGTGCAAATCTAAAAGTCCCTAATAAGGCACTGGGCCGTGTTCGGCAGTGCCATAAAGGACGTCACACTACCTTAAAAGGACGCCCGGCCCCCCCCCCCCCCCCACTCAGGTTTCGAAATGACCGCATGCGTGTTGCCAAAATGTCCTTTTCGTAACAAAGGAAAAAGGTCGACCCGTATTGACTTTACACACCGGACTTTTGCTGAAAGGGGGGGGGGGGTGCTGAAAAAGGCTCGTATACAAAAGAAAAAGGTCGAACCGTATTGACTTTACACACCGGACTTTTGCTGAAAGGGGGGGGGGTCGGTTGGAACACGCATATGCGTACCCTAAATAACACTGAGTGGGGGGGGGGGGGGGGGGCGGGAAAGGACGTCACACGTGGCGGTCCACGTTCTCGTCGTGTAAATTTAAAAGTCCCTATTATTGGTCATGTATGCCGTCCGCTAACCATGAAATGGGTTCTTCATGGTGATAGGCTTAAACCGCTTAGAGGCAATTTGCAATTTGCGGTATACAAATATCTTATTATATTACACCCCCTGCCAGTCAATAACTGTATAATTATCATTATTAATATCATACAATGACCTTCATTTCTCGTGCGCAGATAGCATCTACGAACTGGCTTTAATTTGCTTATTCGCTTGGGTCACACACGACTTTTATTTCAATTTCTTCTTCTTCTTCTTCTGTTTTTTGTAATACAGAGAGCAGAATCGCACTCCGACCAGATCACATCCGGGCCTTCCGGCAGCTCTTTTCTCATACCGCGTCCGGCATGGTCGAAGTGCTCCTTCCGAACAATCCCGTAACCCCAACGGCTCTTATTGACGGCGAGCCGAAAGTTCCCGAATGCGGAGACATCAGGCTCTCGGCTCTGAGGTCAAAGGGCGGCGGATCACGTGGTCTAACATACACGTGGTCCATTCAGAGACCGACAGAGGATGTGGATGAGAGGATCACGAATATACTGGCGAGAACAAACGGTAAACAGTATGAACACGATAAGACAAATATCGAATCATTAGTATTAGTATTGTCATTATTGTTATCATACTCATAATTTGTACTGTATTGTACTGTTGATATATATATCTCTCTCTCTATATATATATATTAAATATAATAGTGCAGATATAACTATACGTGAAGGATCTTCACATGACTAATCTTTCGTGGACTTTGAAGATGAATGAACCCTAATCATAAGATCTGTAAAGTCGACTTCAAAATATATTTCATGCATGTTATGAACACTGCAAGGCAATACAAGTTGAGGGCGTTTAACACTGAACATGATTTTTTCGAAGTTGTGTCTAACTTGAAATAAAAGATAAATATTGTTGTCATCGTTTCTGTGTGTGGTTACCATGCAGGTGACAATAAAGCAGAGTTAGTCGTCGGCGCCAGTCTCCTGCCTGATGATACTCCGTACGTGATGCGATTAACCGTTAGGAACCTACTGGGACTGGAGAATTCGACGACTTTCACCGTGCGGAAAGCGAATGAACAGGAGCCTAAGTTTAAGATTGGAACCATAGGAATCCCCGCAGACAGAGTGGTCAACGTAAACAAGCCGTGAGTATCTATCTGTGATTCGCTAAGAACAAAAAAATAAAAATAATTGAATAAATAAATAGGGAGGAAGATCACAACAATGAGGATGAAGATGGTGATGATGATAATAAAGATAATAACAGTAATGATAATAATAATACAGCTAATAAATCAACTACTACGACAACTGATACAAAATAATGATAATGACATGATAACAAATACTTGTCCAAGTATAAATTTGTGTTGAATGTGATTTTTAATATTATTGTATTATTATCATCATTATTATCAGTATTATAATTATTATTGTTTTTATTATCATTTTTTATCAATATCATTAATATCATTATCAATTCATCACTGTGACCATTATTGCATTTGTTGTTATTTATATTATTATTAATCATTATTATCATCATAATCATTTTATATCCATGACAGCGTTTCACTTGTCGGTGATTTATCATTTAACGGCCGTGGACCCGGTTGTGGAAGGCTAAATGCCTCTGAAGTGAACTTTCAGTGGTCCGTATCTGGTGCTCAGTTTGAAGAGGGCGTCCTAAATACGAATAAACGAGGACTCCGGTTTCCACCAAGATCTCTACCCGGTATGTAATCAACTTAAGCTGATCCAAATCTCATTTATTGTTTGTTGGATGAACAAGAAAAGAATCGTGTTTAACGTAGACTCACTCCATCTCTGAATTATTATTATGATTTGTGTTTGTGTGTGTGTCTGTTGGTCATCAGGTACACACTTTGATCACTGGGACCTTGACCGTAAAATATGGAGCGGATGACCCTAAGACCTCGTCGAAGACGGCAGCATTTATAACGGCCTACACATTTTTTGTCTTCACATTGTAGCGCCCTCTAATTTACAAGAATATATTCATGTTCTACTAGACAACTAGGACACAAATAGATAACTACCACCTTGACCGTGACCTATGGAGATGATAACCCCACGACCTTGCCCAAGAAGGCAATATTATATACGACATACATTTTTTTCTTCAGAATTAAATTACACCAGATTGATTTTATGTTTTACTTGACACACAGGAGACACGGAGATCACTGCGACCTTGACGTTGACCTATATGGCTGATACTCAAGTGACCTTGACCCGTACAGTGACCTTCACCACGGCCTTTGAACCCCTCGTGGCACGTATCAAAGGTGGTGAACGCATAACCACTGGTGAGGCTTCCAGTCCCTTCGACCTAGACTGCTCGCTGTCCAGAGATCCAAACTTTAATGGCGATGAACCCGATGAGGGACTTAGGTTTCGGTGGGGCTGTTGGCAGGTAGGTGATGTGATTGTTTTTAGCCAATAGCACGCTTTTGCTAATAGTTCGATGACTAGCATGAGTATGGTGTCGCCTCTGAGAGACGCTGCTGATCATACTGTTTTATTTTATTATAGATTCAATATGAACTCTATGCCATATTGCAATGGCTTAAAAAGCGAAAACCTTCCGGAGAAATGAACAAATCACCGTCTTAAATACCACCGTAAGCATCACATAATGCTAAACGCGAGCAGCCAATTATAGCATCGACTTTAATTTATTTATGATGAAAGTAGCAGTAGGTTTTATCTGGTATATAAGGTAATATTATTTCAATGACATAACTTATTGTTACTTTCTTGATTCTTTAAGGAGACTGATAAAACCGGATGCAACCCTACGTACCCATCAACGGAAGCTGTTTTGACTGTTGACCCTTCCGCGTTGACAGCTGGGAAGGCCTATTCTTTCTCTTGCTACGTCTCAAAGGCCGGCTTTGACGGTGAAGTACATAGTAGTGTGACGGTCGATGTTACGGAAAACAATCCACCTCTGGTAAAGTTTTAAATGTATAATGATATACCATATAGTCATATATATTAACTATTTGCTGAATAGCATAGTAATTGAGACGAATACATTTTTTACCTATAATATTACGAAATAATTTTAAACATACATTTTCGATTATAAATATGAAGCTCAGAATCAAATAGTTATGCAGGTCGCTCAGACGAATTAATTTAGAAGAAAATCTAATGGGGATACAAATACATCCCATGTAGATTACTTTACGTATCTCTTTCCAAATTAGAATAACATTTTTTTTTTTTTTTTTTTTTTTGGGGGGGGGGGATATCCTTTAAATATGGATATATTCTGTATCTTGCATTGTTTACTGCAATATGTCCAACTACAATATTTGTACATCTCTAACAATTTATTTCTAACTAGATGTATCCATCATAATGTTTTCGTTTGAATGATGTTATACCTTGATTTAACTGTTATCCGATACTTTTCAGGGGGGATAGGGAGTCCTTCTTTGACGACTCAATTTTTAAAGAACAGTTATGTTCAAAGAATGACCTCTCCTTTGTCATCGCGTCTTCAGAGATATTCGAAGGTGAAAGGGACATGCATTATAAACCTTTCGGCTGTTTGTGTTGCCTCTCTGCACGAGAGTTCGTTTACCACATGTGCAGTTTCGCCCAAAACAAAAATAGTGAGAATAGTATTGATGCTGATAAGGATTATCTTGGTATTAATTATATCATCATTATTATTGCCATCGTCATCACCATCATTATCATAGTAGTAGTAGTAGTAGAAGCATTAAGATAGTTGAACCATAAGTCTTAAAATCACCATAATAATACTTTCCACTCATTTTATTTGTTACTATCTTCCTCTCCCCCTTCATGTTTTTCCTACTTTACAAAATTGCTTCACTTGCACTGGCAGATTTCGCTGGCCCTGCTCCAATCGAAGGACGGATCTTACAGACCGAGGAGAGACATAGAGATACGGGCCAACGTCAGGGGTGATGACATCAGCGAAATGAGTTGGGAGGACGTAGGTGGCGGTCTTGATGGATTGGGGGAAGACGAATTCACGGAGTTCAAAGACGTAACACAGACGGATGCAGAGACAACATTAACTACTTCCGAGGTCACACGTTCATCTAAGCCATATACTGTCAGGTTCGGACAGTACTACTCTCTTCTGAAAATTAACAACGGTATGTAAAATGAAGCCTAATGCTGAATGCTTAACCTTTCGGTTGCTTTCTCTGCCATTTGACACGGTCGCTCCATGGACACACGTGCATTGTCGCACAAAATGGCGGGCACCGAATGAGGAAAAGGTTGCTTCCTTGAAACACAAAGGGTTAGCAAATTATTAATTTCCTGTCTTGGTTAGCTCAAAAACAACCGCTTAAAACAAGTATAACAAATCGGAGCACAAACACAACATAAAACATATTGTATGTTTTTCATTCTCTCTCTTTCTCTCTGGGTTTCTGTATCTTCTCTTTCTCTATGTTCATGGTGTTATTCACCCTATCTAATTAGGATGGTTATAATGACATTATTTTCCTTCTTCATTTACTTACTCTTGTTTTCTTCTTTTTCTTCCTTTTCTGTTCCCTTCTACAGCAACCCTCGAAGCCGGTTCTCAGTATAGTGTACAGTTTAGCGCCCTCAACGGGGAAGACACGGGTTCTTCAACAATTGACTTCCAGGTTCTTGGCAAGGTAACTGGTTGCCAGTTTGAGTTTGGTGGAGACGAGACGTACGTGGACACTGCTTCCAATGTAAGTCGAAATGATGTTCATTAAACTATTTGTCCATAAAGATAAAGGTGTGTTCTGGTAATGCGATTGCATTGTGAAAGAAAAGGTGTAGAATGGATCAGGAAAGGTAACGTTGATCATTTAGCATGTAAGTATTGGTGTGCACTGCAAGGTTAGGGAGTCATCACAATCTTAATAAATTTGGCCCAGTCTTAAAAGTAACAAACACTGTACACAGAAAGATATATGGGACTACACAAATGGTGTCGGGGCTACCTACCTTGATTTTCCTTATCTATCATTGCTCATTACTCAGTTAATATACATTTTCTTCATGAATTGTTTGGCACATGACATTTATTTGTAATCTTGAACATTCAGTGTAAGTTTCGTTTGATTCTGTGAGAATTCATCTTCTTTTTTTTACCAGAACTCAAGTTTATCTTTAATATTTGACACTTACGTCGGATATGATTTTAGATTGTCATAATTGCTCTCTTTAATATTGACTTCGACACAGTCTTTTACACTGACCTGGCCAATGGTTCAACACTGCCTCAGACCCTAAACTCATTTATAGACATAAAACTAATTTCACTTATTTTAGAAATTATTTCATACCGTCTTTAACTCTCTCTTTGACACTGTCTTTCATACCTTTATTAGCACTCTCTTTAATACTGTCTTTGATATTTATGTATTTCTTTTTTCAGGTTTTAATTAAAATAGAGTGAATCAGAAACAACTGCTTTCCAATTGCGCCCTCTATTGTATTTGACAGTGTCTTTGACACTATCTGTTGCACAATCTTTGGCACTGCTGTTTATACCATCATTGGTTTCCTCTTTAACACTGTCTTTCAAACTATCTTTTACACTATATTTGACACCGTATTTGGCACTTACTTTGAACCTGTCTTTCATACCATCAGGCCTAACAAAAAAGATGTTGTATTGCCCTTTCGGTGCCAAGACATGTGTCGGTCGGTCGGAAATCCTTTCTTTCTTCCTTTTTTTTTCTCTCCCTCTTTTAGCTGATATTTCTCAGTGTTTACAAAAAAGAAATAATTAAAAAGCCAACCGTAGATTTAAAAACTTGTGGGTCTGTCAAAAAGGGCAATACAACATCTTTGTTAAACGCCTCATGGAATTTATCGTCACTAATGTCTTTGATACTGTCTTTGCACTGTATTTGATAACGTCTTTGCCTCTCTTTCTTTTGCAATGTATTTAACACCATCTTTGACAAACTCTTTAACACTATATGACACTGTCCTTGGCACTGTCTTTTACACAATCTGTCACACTGAATCTAACAAATTCTGTGACACAATATGTGACACTTTCTTTGATAATTGCTCTGTCTCAGATACTTGCTCTGTCTCAGATACCGTCTATTTGAAACTTCTTCTGCTATCTTTAAACCTTTGTTTCGAATCCAGATGAAATAAACTGTTCTTGACACTGTATTGACAACGTCTTTGTCCTTCACTTTTTTGCCGTTAAAACTATACTTGACAGTGTCTTTGGAACTGTCCTTCTTACGATCATTGACACTGACTTTAACACGTTTTTGACAACATCTGGGCCTCGTTGCATAACACTTTCCATTGATGGTAACTTTTACATCAATGTCAACTACCATGATAACATGTCTCAACAGCCAATCAAAATCAAGGTTTCCATGGTAGTTACCATTGATGGCAAAGTTACCATCAATGGTAAGTTTTTTGCAACGTGGCCCTGTCTTGCTTTGATACTGGCTCTGTCCCTGATATTCTATTTGAAACTACCCCTCCTATATTATCTGTTGAAACTGTTTTTATCAAATCCAGGTGATGTACACTGTCCAGTCATGCTCTGCAGATGAGGACAAGGTCCTTACTTACCAGGCCTTTGCTCAGGTATCCCTAGAGGACGGGCAGAACTCTCTGCGTCTCCTCGGTCAGACCTCGGAGATGCCAGAGCTCCAGGTTGACCACGACGTCTATGATAAGGTCAAGAGCAAGATAGAAGCCGGTGACACAGTGCCTTTCAAAGTCGGTGTTAGGGTAAGCACTAGTATTCACGACTCTTCCCCTATTAAGTTAAATAAAGAAATCCATCGACAATATTCAAGTTTTCTGAGTTATTGGACAAATAATGGCAGAATGAAAGCATTATTTGGCGGATAAACGATGTATTAAAGCCCCACTGTCCTGCTTGTAGCTACTTGCGCCCGCTATATAGAAAACAATGCATAATCGGTGACCATTGGTCCTCTTTTTCTTGTGTTAATTGAGAGCTTATTTTGATGAGATAACCACCTGTCAGTGACCTTGCAGGGAGGTATAATCCCTTCTGGCTAAAATAGTGCGGTATGGCTTTAATTTAAAATATTGAACCAATCGACAATATTCGAGTTATTGGGAAAATAATGGCAGAATTAAAGCAATAATATGTGGCGGATAAACGAATAAATAGAATAAGCCACTTAGTAGGTCCAAAGCTCTATTCCTAGTGCTACTTTACATTGTTTCTGGAAACTTTGCATTCATTGGATGAGTTTACTCGTACCCGGCTACTTAGAGGCACGTTCAGGTATGACGAGTCAAGACCGTTTAAATTTTGTTCCTCTTCTCTAATGACAACGCAAAAGGTAATACGGTTCACATGTATGTATCTTAAACATAACGCAAAATACGCGTAGGACTTTTGTTGCGCGTAGTTGTGGTATACGTTTTTTTTCCTTTTTTTTTCCTTGCCTGTTTACCAAGTCAAATAATGGTCACCTAATGGTTATAATATTTCCAATGGAACCTATTTATCTGTGATTTTGTTTAAACTTCTCCTCGACCTGCATAGGTATGCTACCAGCTCACCAAAGTATGTGCGGATTTCACGAAAGATGTGACGTATGACCACCAACCCCTAACGGCGGAAGACATCGATGACAAGAAGGAGGAAATTAATGATTTGAAGAACGAAGGTACTTATTACTTGTGAATCGCCGTTTAGTCTACACCTAGTTCGCCTACTACCCAATTAGTTGATTTCAATGTGATCTTTTGCGCTCTTATTCTATTTTCAAGTCGATCCAATTTGATGATTTCAAATGATTTCAAATGATCTTAAATCTCATGCAAAACATAATACAATGAATAATTATATTACAAAAATATGCAATGAAACGACACATATAATGGAAAAAGCACGAGCAAAGAGGAACTAACTGGAAGCAGAGCTTGTTGAAGTGTTAGTTCCAGTTCATCTAATGCCCATTTCGTCTACTATCCATTTGATCGAAACATCATTTATAATCATAAATACTAATAATCATCACATGATATAGAGTACCGAAGCTGTGACGTCATAAACATCTATTTTTAGAATTTCTCAATTTCTCAATTTTTTCTTCATATAAAAAATAATGTCCAAATGTCGAAAACCAATTGAATATGTTAAGTATTGGTTGAGATATGACCATCTGAATAAATATACTCCCCATAGGAGCTCAGTGTTATATGCTCTGGCTCTTAATGTTTAGGAGCCAGAGCATATAGCACTGAGTTCCCATAGGACATATATTCATTCAGATGGTCATATCTCAGCCAATACTTAACATATTCAATTGGTTTTCGACATTTGGACATTATTTTTTATGTTCTTTCGGAATATGAAGAAAAAATTGAGAAATTCTAAAAATAGATTGTTGATGACGTCACACTTCACCACTCTATTAGACCTTATGGATGTAAGTCAAAAAAGGCATCAAACCAACTTAGAATTAGACTAACTGGTTAATAATCCAAATAAAAACAAATACCCAATGATTTTTAGACCATGCGGATAGTATTAGTATAGTATTAGTCTTAATGTTATTTATTCGGCACTTTCAAGAAATATAACAATTAAGCAATATAATCATGGTAAATACAAAATTGGAATGACAAAATCTGTGCAAATACAATTTTTTGTAGCAATATTCTGAGTGCAAAAGATGGCGGCCAGGGAAGAAAAGAGCAAACTTAATTACTGTAACCGTAAAGGTCCCTCCGCCCAACCAACTGATGCACCCAGAAGACTGGTAAAAATATAGCATAAGGACAAATAAGAGAGTAACAAATCAAGGATAAACAATAAGAATATTATATATATAAGGATAGTACACAGGCTGGATGTAAACCGAATGGGAAAAGACCAATTGAGTAGAAGGCGAACTGGTTGTAGACGAAACAGCAATAAACTTGTCTGAATACCCTTGACCCTTTCAATACATGCATTCCACGTGTTGTAGTTTTGTTCAATAACTGTTGATTTAGAGCCCGGGAAATATAGTAGATAGATAAGTAGAAAATGCAATAATCTCTGTCCACATGTATTATTTGTGGAGAAATCGAATTGATTCTGAACTATAACGTACTATCATCCACATTTTTATTTTTCGTAGGACGACCGGTGGAAGGACTCAAAACAGCGAACAGCGCGCAGAAGGCTAGCGCCGACTTGTCTACCGAAGGCGCACGAAAGAGACGAGCAGCAATAGTAATATTTTGTTTTAATTCTTTATTAATTTTTACTCAGTCAATAATGAATTAAAGAAAAGAGCGGTCAGGGGAAAGACTTATCTTATAATATTATTACTGATAAAGATGATGTTGCTGATGATAACTATGATGACGATGATGATAATATGATTATAATGACAATAATAGTTGTAGTAATAATGATAATAATAATGATAATAACAGACATTTAGTGATCATTGTAGTAAAAAATTTGATAATAATACATACTAATCTTTACAACACCGTCAAGGATATGTACGGTTTTTTAAAAGTGTTCTTCAGAAATATGTTAATCGTGGTCATCATGTTCAGGCTCTATTATTGTTTTCAATGTTGTTTCTCCTTCATCATTATATTATGTTTTATTTATTAATGTGTTTATATATCAATATATTTACTTTCTTATTTAGTTATTTATTCATTTATTTACTTTTTGTTGATTTTTGTATCTATTCAATCATCTATAAACATATAAATACATTTCGTCAGCTCCCAGCAAGAACGGATAACTCGTACGGCTTCCTTTATCTATTAAGAAAAAAACTTTCTTAGCATTAAAATTGTAATCATTCTCATTATCACTGCTATTATTATTTTCATTATTATTATTATTTCAGAGCTTTGACCAGACCTTACTGGAATTGCAAAAGGAACTACTGATCCTTGCTGCTGGGGACCAGAGCAATTATGACGGCTACCCTGGCGATGTTCTATCAATGGTGGATGCGGCCATGGACGTACCTATCCCCGCATACCAACGGGAAGAGATAAGTACGTGTTTAACAATCCGACAGAAAATAAGAAAGGTTGTGATTTTATATTTGGCATGATGGGGTAGGAGTGTTTTGCTTTAAATATTTAATGGCTGCCACAACAATTTTATCGTGGCGCCTAGAAATATAGATTTAGACGTGTTGAAATTTTACTTCTTCGTCCTATTGTTCTACTTCTTCTTTTTCTTCTTCTGCTTCTACTTTTTGTGTTTTCTTCTCATTTTCATTATTTTCATTAAAAATATTATCATTATCATTGTGATTATTAGTGGTACTACTACTATTTTATTCATTGGTAATCTTTTGTCTGGGTAGCCCATTGAACAATAAGTAGTGGTCCTCCATGTGGTCCTGAATAATTATGAACATATTTGCATCATAAAGCATAACGTTTATACAGAACAGTTAAAATAAAATTCCATAGTACGTGTAGAAAGATATAACGCAGCAAACACCGAATACTCGTTTGCAAAGTAATCATATTAAACCTGGTTCAACTGTAATGCCAATAGGAAAATATTGATTAAGTCGCTATTGTGTGCATAAATCATAAATCAGAATACGTACGTAAATGATTAAATGAATAACGACCAACTGAACAAATTAAATTGATTTAATCTCCATCTTAATTTTCTCTTTAGGGGGTATACTGGACGCACAAAGGAATGTGCTTCAATCCGCGAAGGATCTTGATGACCGCCTACCACAGGAAACCATCGATGGGGTTCGCCAGCAGCTGGAGGATGCCAAAATAGCATTCCCGGACAGCGTGTTCTTCACGGAGAACAGGTAAACATGGCAGTCGGGTTTCATGAAAATGGTGTCCATACTCAAGTTAATTGGTTTATTTGTAATACGTCAATACTGGTGATCACACTAACGGTTATGGTGACCATGATTTGATTAGGATGGTTATTGTGGTGACGATGGTGATGAAATATAATGATGATGATATCAATGGAGATAATAGGAGGGGGATGATGAACATAGTTATGATGTTATTGGTGAAAATGCAACTACTACTACTAGATGTACTACTACTACTACTACTACTACTACCACTATTAGCCTACTACTACTACTTACTACTACTACTACTACTACTACCACCACCACTATTAGACTGCTACTACTACTACTACTACTACTACTACTACTACTACTACTACTACTACTACTATTACTACTACTAGTACTACTACAACTATTAGCATGCTACTATTTATACTACTACTACTACTATTACTACTACTACTACTACTACTACTACTACTACTACTACTACTACTACCACTAATATAATGCTGCTACTGAGGTTATGAAAGTTAACGTTTTGTTCACTTTTCTATCGTATGTGGATTCTTTATTTTTAAATTGTTTTATCAGAGAAATTCTTGGACTGCTTTCAAAGTGCATGGGCAAGAACCTGGCAACCGGTGAACGGATTTCATCTTACGGTGACGACATTTTGATTACTATCGAGGCCACACTCAATATCGATCCCATAATGATACCTAAGGGCGATGGCTCTATCACCTTCAAAGGTGGGGATGACGTCAGAAATAGGTGAGTTTATCTTGTTAAAAAAAAATCTAGTTATGTTAGTTCGTTCGCGTGTTTGTTATCTGGCTTCATTTTCAGTTCGTCGTATATTATGTAGTGCATATCTCTCGTTTTGTTATCAAATTAATTTTTATATCATTTCTTTAGTGAATAGTTCCTTGCTTATGATTACACAATATCACTTAATATTCTTCTTCTTCTTCTTCCCCTCCTTCTTTTTCTTCTTCTTCATCATCATTTTCTTCTTCTTCTCCCACTCTCTGAATATATCGTATGTGTTTATGTCTGTTAAGCGGGGAAAAGCAGGAGCACTTTTTCACCCAAAGTTCCGTACATGTCACACTAAGTATCATGCAATTGTTCTATGACCCTTCTGTTGCCATAGATACGACACCTCGTGGGAGGGATGCGGATGCGAGGAGTGCGTAGGAGTTCTGGTTGAATTCTTCATCTACCGCGGCCAAGACTACGTGGCCGGTGAGTCACATGACAGTGACGTCATCGGGATGCAGTTCGTCAATCCTTGCACAGGTGAGAAAATACTAATGGAAATAATAATAATCGTAATAAATGCTTTAACCCTCCTCCCTCACTTAAAGGTACAATGTCACATTTGCAGGCTAAACAAATGAAAACGTTAAACTTAAATGGCATTTAAAATATAATACTAATTTAGAACTTCCTTTTAAACGAAAAAAATGTTGGAAAATAACGACCGTTAGTTGTCGAATCAACTTTAAGGATTGCAGTCGTTTAATGTAATATAATTTTGGACCGAAAGGTCGTATGTTTTGTGTTGCGCAAAGATCGACTTTAATTTTGGTCATTACAAGAAGTCGGCTATTGATGTAGGCAAATGCTCATGTACCATTTACTGCTAACTGTATTTATGTTTTTATAAAAGAAAACAAAAAGTCGCTCCTTAGTTCCTGACAAAGAATTGCATAATTTTGAATACTAGGACCCTGCTTACGTTTAAATTTCACAAATAGGACGTACGTGAAATATTCATAATTCCTGCAAAGTTCTGAAGAATTTGATGCTGGCTGCAAAAGGAATACAGCACCTTTAAGCAAGGATAATCTCGTACAAGTGGACTTCCCAATGTTAAATAAAAAATCTTCCTACATTGGGGGTCAATTGCGCCATGGGTTCTTTACAACTTGGTCTTTTCATTCCCTTGCACAGGCGACCCGATGGAAGTGCGCGATCTCTACGACCCCGCAACCATATCAATCCCCTTCTCATCCCCTTGGCCGTCCATGACCCGCCCCGTTTGCTCGTACTACAATGACACCAACATGGAATGGAGCCAAGACGGTGTGCAGACAGTCGTCGACGGGATGGATGTCCGTTGCGAAACCAATCATACCACAGAATACGTGATCGATTTTGTCATCGAGGATGGCGCTGTAGCGGAACCCACACCAACCACCTCCACTAGAGGTGAATTTGATAGTTTGAATTGTTTATTTTGAGAGTAGTAAACAAAATGGCGATCATCATTTATGATTATGTTGATAATGATGAACGTGATTATGACGATGATGTTAATAATAGCAGTAATTATACTAAAAGTAATAATGATATTAACAATAACATTAATACTACTACCAATAAAAACAATACTTACCATAACCATGTTCATCATGATCGTCATCATCCTTGTATTGGCAATATAATTATATAATATAGTAATGGTCAGAATATAACAAATAATAAGGTTAATACGAAGAATGAAGAAGAATAAGAAGAAGATAATAATAATAAGAATAAAAGAAGAATGAAAATAAAATGATAAAGAAAAAGAAGACGAAGAATGGTAGAAAAACAAACTCTAAATATAAGAAAAACAGAAAGATGGCAATTATGATGTGTTAGTAATTTTTTGGGGGACTAGCAAACAGCTCGAGATTGCATGTGTTCTTTACCTATATCTCTCCCCCTCCCTCAAGTAAAACGAGATTTTCATACTATTTTTGGTGCCTTTAATATTATTCGGCCGGATATGAGCACAACGTAAAGTTATCTATATTCATATAAATCTGCTATTCCAAATCATTATATCATGTGAATTATGACTAATCATTCTGAAATTTGTTCTGATCCTCAGGAGATGACATGACCACTCTCGAAGACGACGACGACGATGATGACGACGACCAAATCCCTGGACTGACTGCTCTGCTGGGCATGGGTATAGGCGTGATTGTCGGCATCGTTGTCGGAGCCATTGTCGTTCTCGCCATCATCGTCATCCTTATCGTAGTCGTCCTCAAGAACGTGAACAAGCCCAAGATGATGGTCTCACCCGTCGTCAAGGCATAAATTCTCATCAATTCTTCTTTCTTTTGTTCTTACTATATTCCGTATTTCCTTACTTTGCTCCCTACAAATGTATTCACATTTCTTTCGTATATGTTGACGATTCGAAAGTGCTAAGTTTACACTAAAGTAGCCCCCCCCCCCCCTTTATGCGTTTACAGGCACACAACTCTTGTTAGTCCCTGAGCGTAACAATTATGCAGCCCATAATAGTGAGACTATGCTGACGTCATAATCTAAAGGCTCTAACTGAACTGTTTGACAGACAGAGACTGCCAGATATAGGCTCTGAACAAGGCTTCATGAGTTGTGGAAAAATGTCCGATATGATTCTTTGCTTCAGACAACCCGGCCCCCTCCCACTTTCTTAATGTTGTCCTTTTCCCTGCATCTTTCATTTTATATATAATCGTTGGTGTGCCCTTTTCCTTCACCCTCTTACTTCATTTATATCATTACTCAATTACTTTATATTTGTAATTGTTTTTTGTTGTTGTATGTTTGTTTGTTTTTCAACCGTTACCATTGGTTAATTGTATGAATGTTATCATAAAATTTAATATTACTAAAACAGTTTTCGGAGAATCGTTTTTGTTATTTAAAGCTTGTGAACAAATTGCATACAATGAAATCTTTAAGTAAAACATCTATGGTACTTTGTAGTGATATTTGCTCTGATTAATGTGAAGGTTACTTTGGAAAAGAAGTTCATGGTAAAGCAGCTTTAGAACGAAGGGCTTAAGAGGGGAAGTAAGAGTATGGCGGCACTGAGTACAGCTTTATAAGCGTGAAGGTAACTAGATTTAACCAAATGTACATTATCCACTGTTCTTTTGGGTGATTGAGAGAGGAAGGAAGAGAAAAAATGAGAAAGATGTAAATATTTCTATTTTTGCACAGAGAGGAATATAGTAGCTATAGATCATTGTAGGAAAAACAGGAAGGAAAAACGAGTTTGCTAGAAATTATATGTATCAAACCAATTTATTATGGTTCGAATTATGTTTTCATGCAAAACATTGTTTTAATGTCATCACTTTATCAATCACCTTGAAAATGACATCTTTACCGATGTTTTTTTGTATATAAATATCATCGTTTCGTTTGTTTGATGTGAAAAATGCAGTGCATTTACTATTTTCTATTCTTAAAAAGAATTGTAATAACTTATGTTTGAAATATATTTTGGCATGTATATACTTCATGGGCAGTTGTATTTTACAAATATGTTTGACGTCATCACTATTTGAGACACCTTGAATTATTAATAATTTCATGTCTTTCTTTCCCAAAAATGCATTTTAATTTTTATAATGAATTGCATTAGTTTGGGTTATGATAGGTTAGTATCTGTATTTGTATTGTATAGTGGAGGTCTCGTGGTATAGTTGATTCGTCACCAGACTGTTGATCACGTGGCCCGCTGATCGAGTCCCGCATTAATAATATCATTTACAAAGTCATTAATCTACATCTACACCCGGTAGGATGCGCACATTAGTATGGTCGGATTAGCATGTGTGCGCTTGTAAAATGGCGCCTACCCCGAATGCTCCCCAGGGAATGGAGCGTGTACACTACCATGTACGGATTAGCAATTGAATCCAATAACCGAGGTAATAAGTATTACAATGTAAAGCACTTAAAGTAGTATAAACTGCTATACAATTGTGACTAATATTATTTTTTAACAGGGATGACATGTAATTTTTTTATTTTTGTTACTTGGCATTTGTCGTACCCCGGGAAAGTTATAAATAAATATAGAGCTTTGTCTGACGTCTTGGCAGCTATATTTCACCACTAATTATTATTATTTGTGTGCCAGTATGTACCACTAAAAGCTGATCAATAAGATGTGTTATACAGGGTATCCGCGGATGTTTAGAAAACTTCGACACACTAACATTTTGCTCGGTCATTTATAATTGCTTTAAACATATCCTTCGAGTCTTAAGGTAATCCAGAGTCCTTTAAAATAAAGAAACGCAAATACCACGAATGTTTTTTACATCATTTTATTATACCTACTGGTACTTAAAAACAAGATAGGTGCAATCTTATTATAAAGTCATGTTTAGTTGATTTAAAAGCCCTCTGATGCAAATGAATTTCCCCGAAAGATGATTAGAAGACTATTTACGTGTTACATTTTCAAATTATCTGATCATTTATGTTCGTTAGATTGCGTGTAATTAGATCGTTTTGGAATCTGTGGTTTGATAATTGTATGAAATAACAATGAAGAAAATTTTGCATTGTCTTAAAACCCGAAAGTCTTTCAAGAAAAGGGATAACTTTAGTCTGTTGTTGATTAGAAACTGTTCTGGTAATTGTGATTTAAGTAATAATTGTAACAAAAGTAAATATGTGTAGTAGGAACACTTCATATATATATATATATATATATATATATATATATATATATATATGTTTACATTGAACTGTAATAATGCTCACTTTAATGCTATAATGGCATACATGTATGTTGCAGGGACTAAATCTCAGTAGCAAATATTGTTTTAACACACAAATCAGAGAGCATTTTGTACGAGCTCTGTTTTGGTTTGGGTAAATACACTTTCAAATGGCACTCGGTTTGATCATTACATTGTCACTGAAATCATTGATCCCCATGCCTGCACTTTTGTTAATTTGTATGTTGATTTGTCACTTGACTTAATTATTCATAAAAGTCATTTTATTAGTCTTGATATCAAAATATGAAATTCATCACATGTTATTAATAATGTTATTATTAATTTGTTAACAATTCTTGCTGATTGCAATTATGAAGTTGCCTTAATCTCGCTTATGTCTTTCAAACGTAAGATCTTAAGGAGAACATTTGCAATAACTGATTAATAAAGTTTGATATAGATTGTGTGTATGTAGATTTAAATTGCAAATCTAATAATGTAAACTTGTTTACTTCACTTTCCTTTATTTTTGTTAATACACAAGTTCCACACACATAACAATATGTTCCATAGGAAATATGTTATCATAAATAATTCTGGTCTTATTATCTATTTTCAAATACAGATTGAGCAAGGATGTTGCCAAAACCTGCACAATAGAAATCCGTCCCATTAAGCTTTTTTCAAATTTGATCATTATGTAATTGATAAAACACTATCTAAATCATTTAATAATTTGGGTCATCTAGTATTAAACATTTATTCAAAAATAATTAAAATTCAGTTTTTCGGTCCTGTAACTAGTTAAATATACTTGTTCATGCTTATTTTTTACTTTGAAAAGCGCATAGAGAAAATTTCGTTTCTCCTGCGCTTATAAATCAATCTTTAAAATTATTATTATAATCTAACATACAAATATTAGAGAGTTTATCACCTATTCGTTCAAATTTCAGACACATTCCGTTAGAATAAGTAATCATCATTAAAATCCAAACTAATTAAAGCTTTTCTGTACTAGTTTACAGGAGGGATTAGACCGCCCTGCAAGGTCACTGGACAGGTGGTTATCTCATCAAATCAGCTCTCAATTAACATAAGAAAAAGAGGATCATGGGGACCAATTGTCACCTATTAGGCATTGTTTGTTATATAGAGGGCGCAAGTAGCTACAAGTAGTGCAGTGGGCCATTAACTCAACAAAAGAAGAATAATTACTCATGCGTGAAAAACACTTTGTATATTTTGTATCTTCCTTCATGTTTACGCTGACGTGGTTATATCTGAAATATTTTGCATTTTCTTGCGATCACTTTTACTTTTTTTGTGGTTTTTAAGTTTTGGCAAATGAGAGTTATTTTGTGTGCATCGATGTGTTAACTGTTCTTGTATCATAGCCCGCCATTTTAAGAGATACAAAACTGGGGGAAACAAATGTAGGCTTGATAAGCACGTAATTTGCCTTAAACAGTCAAACGAGGGATAAAATTAAAGTAGACTTTGATTATTGCAACCATTATGACGAACACAGAATTTGGGTGAATCCCCGAACAGATATGATAAGATATCATAAATTATGTTTAATATCTCAAAGGATACATGCAAGACCTCAGTGTACAGTGTATTTCAAGTTGCATTGTCGAAGGATCATTTGCTGTTTTTGTCTTTTTTGTAGTAAAACTATTTGCGTCTGATTGTGTTTTTGTTTTCAAAGACCCACTGAAATTGACTAAAAAGTACGCCTTTTAAAACCAAGCATGAACAACAATTTTATATTCGTATTGTTTTTCGAGCGATTTATCAAGTTATTAAAAGCTATGGCTAAGTTCATACGTCACCCTATTTTATAATAAAATGAATCAGCAAAGTCTCCACAACAAATTAAAAATATATATCGTGCATCGATTGGTAATCATTTTATTGAAAAACATCAAATTTTGAGAAATCGGAGTCCTATAAGAGTCATATAATTTGTATGAAAGTTAATTTATATCATGGCTTAAAAGAAATGTTTGTGTTTGTTTGAGGTGGAAGCAAAAATAAATAAGAGTACATTACGTTGAACTAAGTCTTGTGTAATGACGAAGATCACTTTGGGTCCTGTTGATGAAAATTGTCATTATGATTGCAAAATCAAAATTAATTATCAACATTTCTTTCAAAAACAGGCTTTCCTGATCTCTTAAGAACAAAAACTGTCTCCGAGTAACATTTTAAAGAAATTCCCCAAGTTTTAATATGATTTCCAATGTCTTTTTTGCCAAGCTCATGCCAATATATAATTCGACCAAAACAAACTCGGACCATTCACATCGTCGAAAAGTACAATACTACTATTATTATTATAATTTTTATAATTATTATGATGATTGTTATTATTATTATTGATATGAATATTACTGTTATTATCATGTTTTATTATTTTTTACTATGATTCTATTGTTGTTATTACTGCTCTTATCATCATTATTGAAATTAACATTATTATTGTAATTATTGTGAATTACATTGAAAAGGGATCATCAAATGGACTCAAAATGATCTTTGAATACTAAAAATAAAAAACTTTTAAGTAATACATTTCAATTGAAAATTATTGTAATAGCTAAACTAATTAATACTTAAATGGTGGTGTGTTTCTGACAGGATGCAAATAAATTTTCAGCACGCTTTATTCACTGGTTGTCATCTTGTGTGCTGTTTGTGTATAAATATGTCGTTACATATGCATCATTTAAAATATAATCAATAACGCAATAAAAATTAAACTTAACTGAAGCCAATGTTTTTAAAGTGGGTTTAATCCGAAAAGATTCACAGAACTAACCGAACATGAAGATACAAGCAAAATAAAAAGCATGCAACTAATAAACTTTACTTCTTGTCAATATATAATTGGATTATGGTGTCTTTTAGGTGATCTATGTACACATCGGTGATTTTGTACTATACAAATGGCATTTTGAAATCACATCACGATGTCCTACAAAACAATGACAATGTCTACTTAATGACTCACTTTTTCCAATCCATATGTCAGTCTAGCGACGC